TCTCGTCTTAGGGAGAATCGGTGGCGAACGGCTCTTGCCTGACCAAAGTTGGCCAAAGCTAACAGCACTGGCCGATGCCTTACTGTTGCGAAATTCCATCAAAGTTTCGAAATCGGATTCTTGCCTCGTCGGCGCGAATCGACGACGACGACGACGACGTGCGGATTTCTAATTAGACTTTTGTCTGCACCGGGCAGCAGGGAATCTCGTTTCACTGTCTCGCCGTTATTTATGCGGCAGTTTCGTCCAAAAGTGTGCACCACCGCCGGCTGGACCATTCGAGATTGTCCCTCGTTGAAATTGCACGCCAAAGAGTTCCCTTACAAATTACTATTTGCAGTTGAAACACGCCTCCGTTATCCCCCACTGCCCATCGAACACGCGTGTGTGTATTTACGAACACAGTCATTAGTTTTAGCTTAGGTTTCAATTATTAAATCGTCGTAATTTCATCGCTGTTTGCCGAAGAAGCTTCGTCCTCGAATTTCGTTGCGCAGACTGCTGTGTTTCCCGGAGGGAGGAAAAAAAAAAGGAAAAAAAAAGGAAAGGACACGTTCGATAGCGAATGCGAGAGTTAAATATTTTCTGTAAGGAATTCTGTAAGCGTCCCTCCGAGGCTGCTACTGCGGTTTCGATGCACGTCAATTTCGAAGGCAGGAATACTATCGAGGCATTAGGTTCCCCTCTTCTCAGCGAGGGAAAGAGAAGTATCATAAAGGAGTCGATAGCCGGTCGCGAATGCGAATCAATATGCGGAAATGATAGCCCTTATCTTGCACTCGTCACGAGTATTTCTTCGCAGTACACGTTTACCCTCGCTGTTTAACTTTTATACCTCTTAGATGTTACTCTCTCTCTCTCTCTCTCTTTTTAAACCAACGTGTCATTACGCGTTGGTGGAGATATGTTGAAACACGCGTTTCATGGGAACACGTTTAAACGCCAGCGCTCAGAAACAAATAAAAGCGTCGGCACAACGGCGAAATAACGGCGGAGGGGGGGGGG